CTTGAGCCGTCCAATGATGAAAGAAATTTACCAGAAAATACGGAGGTTAATGTTTCTAGTTTTTGTTTAACTTTTTTGCTTTAGGAAATCGAGCCCGAGCCCGAAAAATTTGAAGATTGGACCGAGTCAATCAAGGCTGCCTTAACGGATAATCCGACTTATTGGCCCGATTCCAAAGAGTATGATGAAATTGTCAAGGAATGCACAGATGCAGGTTAGTAAAGCTTTGATTATGATTTAATTGAACTTTTTATTTTAGGATCGTATCATGTGAATAAGGAAAATGTACCACATCGAGCTGAAGACGCAGAAGTACATATTTCAGGTTGATTTTGCCTTCTAATTCTTTTATCTAGTTGGCCAAACGCCTTGTTTTAGAATTGAACCAAGCCTTGCAACATCAAGTTGAAAGCATTGAAACGGATAGCACAATTGCAGGTTAATTTTTTCGCTTAAACTCTTTTTGTGTAGTTGATCCACATTTTTTAGAATTGAATCGTATTGATGAGAAAATTTGTCAGCATCGAGCTGGCGCCGTCAGATTTCAACAGAAGCAAGCCGAGAAGATGCTCGAATCTTCTAAAAACAGGTATAATGCATGCTTTTCAATAATTATTAATTCAATTGATACTTAGCTATGCTTTTTCCTTAGATATGGTCCTGTTGATGTTGGAAAAACTGTTCGAGTTCCAATCGATACTGTGGATAGACCGAAGATTGGGCATCCTTCTCTTTTCGGAGTTGTGTTGGAAGCAAACGACGGATTTTACAAAATTGGCACTTCGAATGGAATTCTCCCTCAAAAGTTTGTTTGTTGTTGTTGATTATTAAATAATTTTATAGGTTGACTCGCAACCAGTTTGTGCCAGCAAACAACAATTTCATCGATGCTAAAGATGTGCCCGAAAAGGAGACATCATTTCGCTCAGCAGTCGGCGCCGAATCTCTCACCGGATCTCAAGGTATTTTTTGTAGCGTTTGTTTAATTGCTTTTGTTTAGGGCACAAGCACTGTAAGTGTACAAATGGATGCGTAAATGATCGATGTGCATGCCACAAGTCGAACGTTTTGTGCAACAGTCGATGTCACAACAGCAATCCCTGCTCAAACAAGTAACATTTAATTTTTAGTTATTTTTTAGTTAAACTTTATTTTGTTCTAGCATTTTGTTGAGTTGTACCTTAGGGAAGTTGTTAATTAATTTTTTTGTTGTTAATGCTTATTATATGTTTGCAATAAATTGTTGAAAAGTGAATAAAACTCGCAATTCATAAAGCAAAAATATTAAGCAAAATTTACTTTCATTTAGATGACATAATTTTTCGAATTTGGCGACAGAAGTTACCTCCCGAGGTGTTAAAATATTTGGTCCTATTAACCTAACTTTTTTATTTCCATGTGAGATAAATCTGCATTGTATTCCAAATGTTTCATTAAAAAAACTTTCAATCACCATCGGCTAGCCGATAGTGATTGAATCACTAGCGGCTAGCCGACGGTGATTGAATCACTAGCGGCTAGCCGGCAGTGAGTCAATCACTAGCGGCTGAAAATCACGAGCGGCTGCGACATATACAAAAATAGGCATATATACCATTTTTAACGTTATCTGAACAAATTCCAACAAAATTATAACAGTTTCTTTACTAGGTTGGTGCAAATGAAATTTCGTTTTTTTACAAACATTAAAGTCATCCAAAATTTTTTTAGATAACAATTTATTTAAAACAATAAGCACCATTATTATCTATGACATCCCTCCAACGTTGCTACAGATTGCGGATCCCCTTCTCAAAGAACGCTTGATTCTGTGATGCAAAGTAGTTGGTCACCCAATTTTCGACTTCTTTTGCATTCTTAAACTGGCAATTCTCAAGGGAATGTTGCATCGATCTGAAAAGGTGAAAATCGGAGGGTGCTAAGTCTGGACTATACGGCGCATGTGGTAAGACCTTCCATCCTAGCTTCTCTAGTTCCTTACAAGAGGTTTTTGCCGTGTGAGCTGGAGCATTATCACGGAGAAAGTTGATAGTTGAGGGATTTAGGCCTTTTTCACGCAAAATTTCGTCAACCTTCTTGAGTTGTTGAATAAAATAAGATGAATCGACTGTTTTTCCGGGCTCTAATAATTTAAAATGAACAAGTCCATTGATATTCCACCAGCAAGACAACATCACTTTGCGCCCATGATAATCCGGCTTTGGAGTTGGAATTGGCGCTTGATCTTTGCTCAGCCATTGTCTTTTTCGAGAAGTATTATCAAAGTGAATCCACTTCTCATCCATCCTCAAGATATTCTCAAAAAAATGGCTTCTTTTCGACTTATGGAGCAAGATATGGCTGATCGAAACGCGTGCTCCCAGATTCTCAACACTCAATTGATGTGGAACCCATTGTCCATTACGATTTGTCTTTCCAATTATTTCCAAATGACGTACAATTGTTGAATGATCACATTGGAGATGTTTGGCCAGTTCTCGTGTTGTTTGCATTGGATCAGCTTCAATTAATTGTTCCAATTCATTGTTGTCGATGGCTGTGGCACGATGTCCATGCGATTCGTCTTCAAGGGATTCATTACCATCTCGGAATTGGGCAAACCAGAGCTGGCATGATCTTTCGGTGATAACCTGTTCTCCAAAGGCGGAACAGAGATCACGATGTGAATCAGCAGCGTTTTTGCCCATTTTGAAGTCATAGAGAAGACACGTGCGCAGAACATACTTTTGATCCACTAAAGCAAAAATCAATTAAAAAGTGAAAGCTCTGACTTTGAAAAAATGCGAAAATAAAGTAAATATCCAAGAGTACAAATGCACAAAAGAACATCAAATAAGCTCTTCAGATTAAAAAAATAAGAACATTTTATATCGACCGAAATTTCTTTTGCACCAACCTAATATTTAACACCTGTTGCAAATGATAGGACCACATAAAAAATCACATTTCACTCATCATGAAAACACCTTTGCTCAAATATTTAGGAACTCATTTCATCAAGCCAACGAATCGTTCAACCATTGTGCTTCATGTATCGAATTCTCACGGTGAAAGTGAAAGTGACACAACGAAAACGAGGGAAATACGGGAAAACCTTGATGAACTGTGTTCGAAATCAACAAACCTTGTGAAAATGACTAAATTTCTTTAAAAGATATTAATATTCGATCAAAACTAAAAATTCGCATGTTTGTGTAGAAAATTGGATTACTTTTTGCTACTTCCTTTTTGCCCAAAAGTCAGTAGCCTTTGGAATTTTCTTATCATCAGTCAGAGAAAGAATGAAATTTTCAGAAATCCGGATTAAAACCGTTTTACCCCATAAGAAAATGAAAGATTGGCAATGAATCACTATATACTTTGGTATTCTGCTTTGTCTTTTGTTTGTTCAAAATGTTACCTCCATTGAACTTGACACATCGACTTGTGGGTTGCATAGGCGGGGGCGCCTTCGGGAGAGTCTCAGCGTGGGAACCGTTGCAAGAGGGAGATCCGTGAGTTTCGGGAGAGTCTTTGAACTAACTGCTTTTTCCTATTTTATAGTATTTTTGATTTTCGGATTTTCTAACAGTCGCTGGTAGGGTGAGCTTCCCTTGGTTAAATTTGCATCATTTGGTTAAAAAAAATAATTGCATAATGCCTGATTAATCACTGGATAAATGCAAATTTGATATGCAATTTCGTTAAATTACCTTGCGATCAAATTCTCCCCTTCTTTTTCATCTTTTCCTCTAATTTTTCAGCCAAAAAACACTCGCTTTTAGATTAAACAAATTTAGACTCAAAGAACTCGATAATATGTTGCAAAAGCAGAACTTTGATATAGGTAATGTAGGTAGACTTTTCCAGATAGCCAATGTTATTCTAAGAAATTTGCTTTTCCATCTCACAAGGGAAGGTCACAAGGCTGCGATGGCCAAATGAAATGAGCCATATACCATACAGACAAGCCTGATCTGACAAAGTAGCAAAAAATGCCAACATTCTTAGAATCCTAACTAATGGTAAAAGTTACGGGCTATCTTCTGGAGTTTCCGGCTGGTTAATAACAAAAGTACGGTATTGGCAATGAGAACTTTTTAGCTGGCTGGCCGTCAAATATCTACTTCCCCATCGACCACAAAAAGAACTCGAAAAAAATTTCAAAACGGAGCCTTGGAAAGACTTCAACACCCAAATGTTGTCAAAAATTTGGGTTTTGACAAATAAAATGAACGATACCAAACGATGAATAAAAATCAACGTATGAAAATAAATATTCGCGAACAAACTAATTGGTTAAAAATTTGCATTTAAGGAATTAATCAGACAAAACGACAAAAAGAATTACTATAAATATTTATGGTAAATTATTAGCCCACAAGAGAAAACTTAAGATATTCAGCCAACTGCCTACAAATCTATTAATCTGATCAAAGTTTTGTCGGGTTAATTCTTGATTAATTGGTTAATTTGTAAATGCAAATTTTTAAACAATTAATTTGTTTAGACAACAGGAGGCCGCTCTAGTTTCTGGGCCTGCCGAAAGCTAGGCCAGGATCTGGTCTCTTGTCGGATCTAGCCTTGTCTTTGTCAGACAAGCCTGCTCCGACAAAGTAACAAAAAAATGCCAACATTCTTAGAATCCTAACTAATGGTAAAAGTTACGGGCTATCTTCTGGAGTTTCCGGCTGGTTAATAACAAAAGTACGGTATTGGCAATGAGAACTTTTTAGCTGGCTGGCCGTCAAATATCTACTTCCCCACCGACCACAAAAAGAACTCGAAAAAAATTTCAAAACGGAGACTGAAAGACTCCTTGGAAAGACTTCAACACCCAAATGTTGTCAAAAATTTGGGTTTTGACAAATATCAGGATGCTGAGGGAAAATGGAAATACGAGATCCGGATGGAATACTGTGCAAAGGGATCACTAAAAGAGTGCGAGTACAGGAGACTGATAGAAAACTTTTCAGCTTTCTACACTTTTAGTTCTCGTCGACTCCGCCGTCGTTTACAACATGAAAAAGGTGTTTTATTGGGCCGAACAGCTATTCAATGTGCTTCTATATTTACGTGACGAAAATGTCGCGCATCGTGATATCAAACCAGGAAAGTGAGTCGGAGAAAGTGTCACTTTCAAAGTGGAATTCACAATGGAATTGACAAATATTGACTTTACCAGCCTGAATCAGAAGCTGGATGGCCTAGCTTTTCAGGAGAATGTACTGAGTAGTGAGCTAGTATCTGGCTTAACCTAGTCCAGCTCGAGCCTACCTAGTTTATTGGATCCGATAATAACGGATAATAAAGTCCAATTCCGATAATAAAGTCTGGGTGGCTCATAAATCTCTGTAGATCAACCGGACGCCAAATTTCTCTGATTTGTTCATTGTTTCAAGATCTACAACCCTTAAAATCTAAAAAGTAAATGTCTTTGTAAGGCTAAACTTGTCTCTCTCGAGCTTAACGTTAAACATTTCAGTATCATGGTAACCGAGCATTTCGATTTGATGCTTGGCGATTTCGGGCTCGTTCGAGAGATTGATCCGGCCGCTAATTCGACGTTAACTCATACTGGAACAAAACTATACATGCCACCCGAAATAAGCAAACCCATTCGACCAAGACCTGACGAGAGAAAGTTTGATATCTTGATGAAAAGCGACCTCTACTCGATGGGACTCGTGCTTTGGGAGATCATCGAGAGAAGGTTTGAAGTAGAAATTTTAAGTCGTCCAAATCATGTTAAGGTCAAAAAAAGTCAAAAAGCTGTATTTCAGACAAATCTGTTTTGTGAGCGCTTGGGATTGTTGGGATAAATTTGTCGAGGATCTCTGGAGTGACGCTTTTGTGTTACCATTAGCCGAATGCGATCACGAGATCAAGCTGTTAATCCAAATGTAATGGCTTTAATGGAAATTCTGAAGTTTCTGTTTGCAGGTGTGTTGACGCAAAATACTATCGCCGACCCACGACCGAAGAAGCTTGTAAAACGATCCGGGAAATGAATGATGTAAGTTGGTGTGCAGAGTTGGCTATTAACAGTTTCTAATGGGGAGTAATTTCTTAAATTATGCCAGCGCACAGCTCAAAGTGGCCTAACTTGCAAAATTGATGTAAATTGAAGGAACAAAGAAACAGAATAGGAACAAAATTTTTAGGACTAAAGACCAGAGATGTCCCAGCTGGGTCCTAGGGCCTTTTAGGTAGGCCAAAGCTGCCCGAATGCAGGCTTTGTCTTGGGGATTTTTTAAAACGACAGACTTGAATCTGCTATTGGGCTAACCTTGCCTGGTTTGCCCCGAAAAAATCCGCTTTGAAACAAACTTGCTGATGGCTAAAATGCTAATGCTAATTGCTAATGGCTAGTCAGAACTAAAATCCATTTTTAAGTTGATAGGCTCCCCTAGTTAGCACCGTACTTTGGAATCCCAAATCGTTAAGCTAAATTTTGAAGTTAAAACCAAATTTCAGAGATTCGTGAGCACAGCAATTTGCTTTGAAAACAACAACCGAAATACACTCATTCGCCCGCTCGGCTTCGACGGAACAATGGATGAAGTGTCTGTTTCTGACAGCTATCTCAGTTTTTACGACATCTACCACTGGAATGAACCAAAGTACCGAGAAAACCGAATCGAAAAATTCATCGCCCAATTGGACTCTTTACCAAGAAATTTCCACGAGTTGGAGATATTCTCGAAAATCTATCAAACGCTCTCTCCAGAAGATTTTCTTAACAACCATCTACCGGAGCTCTGCAAAACGGTGCTCAGAAAGGAAATTCTGCAATTTATTGAGGCTCAACGTCTATTTTTGTATCCATACACATTCTACACCGATGAAACGCCATCATTCCAAGAATTCTCAATCCCGGGAAAGCTACTCCAATCATTAATCAATGAAACAGTTTTGGTTTCTGATAAAAAAATTCAGAAAACGGTTTTGGAAAGGGAATGGCGAGCGTTGATTTTATATTTGTGGACACAAAGCTTATTGATGGAAGATTCGTTCAAAAAACTTCACCAAAAGCTGGCCACCTTTTTCTCCGGTGAAATTTTAGAGCTAGAACACCGAGAGTATGTGGAATGGTCCTTAAGCCATAATTTCTCCCTTGAAAACTCAGCCCTCTACAGATTCTATTCAAGATCATTCTTTTCATTTAAACTTTACCGTGTCATTGATAAACCGAATGAGCAATGGATCCAATTGTCAAGAAAAGAAAATCGTTTCATGGAAATCGATCTGAAAGACCCGTACCCATTCAAGGGTGATCGAAACGTTCATGGAAACAAAAACAACAAGGAGAGATGTTTGAGCTAACTATTAGCCATTTGGAAATGGAACAGATTGGAGTGATCTGCATCAATCCAACAGTTTGCCTAATTCCTCCAATCAACGCTCGTCTCGATCCAAGACATCCTTTCAGAGGAACTTTTTTCATCGAATCACCATTACCCCTAAATACTTATGTCTTTCAATTAAGCGTGAGTCCAATTGGATCAAAAGAGAGGCTTTATTCACAATTGACAGCTAGAGAACTACTCAATTACAACTCAGCTCACGCTTGGTTTACTGCTCGTCTTAAAAGTGAAGCCCCGAAAACGAATTTTCCCGAAACAATCGGCTTCTCGTGCTTCTACTTCTTCCACACTAAACAGATAAAGGATACAATTTTCTCTAGATCAAAAAGATATTTGATTTTCGATCTACCAACAAATGGCCAGCAAGTTTTGTGCTTGGATTTAAGCACAAAACGATTGCTCAAGAGATGCATCAGAAATGAGGACATTGATAAGGAGAGATTTGTGTTGATGCAGTTCGATGAATTGCTCGAGATTTTGAGAAAGAATGAAAGTCTGGAAAATAAAGATGATAGAGAGAATGTGAAAGAGCCGTACTATTACACGATTAGGCCACTAGTTGAGGTTCCACCATGTGTCATAGTGATGCCCAAAGATGATGGAGTTGAAGCAAACCCCCGAAAACACAACCCCACCTATGACTCGATCGAAATCACGTACACAGGCCAAAATGGAATGGCCCGTGGTGAAATTTGAACGGTGTTTAGTTTCATTTACTCAGTTTGTGCAATTTTGTAGCTCTTGTTTAATTTTAGGAATAAAAGCTGGGCAAATTTTTGAAATATGCATACAAAGTTCTCTCCTTACAATTAGAAATCAATTGAATTTGAATTTACTAAATTTTCAGTGTATTATTGGGCTAGGAAGTATGATGAAATGGCGCCGACTCTCAAAAATTTTTCTGGAACGCAAAAAAGTTTTATATAATCCATAATTATTTGGATAATCAAATAGGCCTATCATTGCTTTACAAAATGGCTTTTGAGAGATTTCGAAAAACTTTTGTTTTGTGGATTTTATGTGCTCCTAAATGCAATCAGTCAAAATGACAAGGAGTCCGATTTATCGTTTGACTCGTTCCTTACACAGAAACTTAAATTGATATCGAAACAAAAAAGTTAGAGCCCATTTAATTATATAAGTGGCCAAATTTTTGTAGTGAACTCGTCAGTCATTTTCTCTAAATGACGATTTATAGATTTTCTGAAAAAAATGATCTTTTATTGAATCGGGGCGCTTTTTGAGTTCTATTTCAAATATGATTTTGTAATCAATTTTTTCTCAAAGCGCCCGTACTTTCAAAAAATGCGTCTTTGCTATCAAAAAAATAGCTGAAATTCAGGGCTATATTTTTGATACCTAGGCGCCCATTGTAGCATAAGCCAGTCTCGAGAAAAACTCGTTCAAAACTAGACTACGCAACACTCTGCACCGTCATTTTGGGGTTGAGGTACTATTACCGTATTTACGGTAAGTCGATGGGCCCCGTCATTCGCTCTTCTTTCCTTTTCAACGTGAAACATTACCCGGGCAGAGTTACGGGTTATCGGACATTTTATATATCGGACCCCGCCCCTTTTGCCATTGGCAATTTAACTTTGAGCTCACATATCTTGGTGTTGGGCTGTCCAATTTAAATATCCTTGGTATCATTGGATGCGCCAGGTCTGTCTTTGTCGATTGGTACAAAAACTATTAGGTACTACGGAAAATGACTGCGTTTTTCATACTCAACTTCAATTTTTCGTATTCAAAACCCTAACTAAGCAAAATAACATCCATTACAATCAATGCATTTGTGCCAGCAGATGGCAAGTTTTTTGATTCCATGTATGTAGAAGTCAGAAGTTCTAGAGTTGATAAAGGCGTCAATGACATTTGGAACCTCCACCGCATATTTGAATATTTGGTCTCTGAGAAAGCAATGAAGGTGCTTAAATAAGTGATAATCAGTTGGCGATAGGTCTGGTGAATAGGCTGGATGAAGTAGGACTTTGATGCTTCAATCATTGAGTGCCCTGAGTGTCATTACAGAGAGGACGCACGTTGCCCTTCAGCAGAATAGGGCCTTTTCGATTGGTTCAAAACCTGCAACTTTGAGTGCATCTCCTTGATTTGTTGCAGGTAGACCTCCAAATTGATGCTTTGGTCGCTTTTCAGCAACGAATAGTGTATCACTCCTTTCTCATACCACCAAATCGACAGCATGACCTTCTTTGGATGGAGATCCAGCTTTGGAAAAGAAATCGGAGTTTCGCGAAGTGACGATCGAAAGTGATGAAGATATTGAAGAGAAGAACGAAGCGGAGAAAGAAGAAACAGAATGGAATGCCGATGATGTGCCTAGAATGATATCACTGGAAGATAATTCTATACGATTTGATGACAGCTATGTGCCGGAGGAAGAAATGAAAGCAGCTTTAGTTTTTTATTTTTTTTAAATGGCCAATTAATTTTTAGTTGATAGCCTACTTCAAAGAAAAGCAATCTGTACGCATGCGTAAACAGAAAAAAAAATGTGAATGAATACTGACATGAGATTGAACCAGAAAGAATGAAAACTACCACATAGAGACTCTGAAGAAATTTCCAATTTCTAATTGTCCGCATTTTGAATTTTTCTGGTTAATTAGTACATTTTTGTACTAATTAACCATTTTTGTCGATTCCAAATCAGAAATCATTTTCTCCAATGAGATTTTCTCCATCGAATTGTATAACATCAAATGTGATAATTGAGGGGCGGAAACCTGAAAAATGGGAATTTGAACGCGGATATTATTTTACACAGGAAATTTATGAGTTTCTACAAAGTTTAGCCATTTTTTAGCTAAGAACTGTATCCATCCAAACAGCTTTAAATCATCGGATTCAACCGTTTAAATCGATTTTCAGAGGTCTATTTGCTGTCACAATTTCCTTTTGGCCTTTGTCTATTACTTAAACATTCTAATAATAAAATAAGATTTATTTCAAATTCAACTAATTTAAAAAAATCAATAAAATCAACAAAATAACATGAAAATGATGAGTAAAATGATGGATTAAAGGTATCATGTTGGAGGAACACTTGTAGTGGTCGTTTCCACTTTAATTGTTGATGCTGCCAGTGTTGACTGTAATTAATAACATTTATATTTTGATAAAGTTTAAATTTTTTAAATTTTGGCTCTTGGAGAATATCCAGGTTTTTAGGAAAAAATTCGGGGCTTTTGTAGGAATACGAAAGTTTTGATTACTATTTGTTATTCATTTGCCGAATTTGGACGAATACACTTGCAATCACTCTATGGCAATCGGATGCCGTTTTTCCTTGCTTCAAGACATACAGCATATAAACTCGAATTTGATACTTCAAATCGTTCATCCTAAAAAGTTAAAATTAACAGAATAGAAAGACAAATGGAGAACCAAGAAAACAAGGAAGAAAACAGGTTTTAAGTTTGCCTAATTTGGAAGAACTGTTCATTTGACTCATAATTAGCTAACTGCAGCTAAAGACTGGTGGAAAATACATGTTGATTTCCCATTTGCGCAACAATTAACGCATCGAAACGTTCAACTGTGGGTTTCTTTTGGCATCTTTTACAAGAAAAACCATGAGAAAATCAGTAAAGGCAATGTTAACGGCAGTCTAAATAAGAAAATATTTTGCTGAAAACGCTGAGAATTACCTATTTAAACCTCATGCCCAAAGTGAAAACTATTCTATTTGAATTGCGAAAAGATGAGATTAAGTCTTATTTTGTTATGTCCTTGCTTAATTTTTGTTGGAACATTGGCTGGGGGTACTTCAATGTTTACTATTTTACCGCAAGGAACACAGCCTCAACCAGCTATTGATCTCATAAATGATTACCCGATCAGAATCACTGATACCACTCTAGACACTATTTTTGGAGGGGTGCGAGGTTCAAATGGACAAAGAGATGGGGCTATTCTTTTTGCAGCACATTATTCTTTGATTGCCAATGAATGAAACTGCAGTCGTCAAGGACCCCAGTAAAGATGACGGTGTGACTTGGAGAAACCCAAAATGTTCTTCTCCATCGAGAATCGGCATTCGTAATGATGGTGTTTTTGAGACAGAAAAGGTCCCTATCGCAGACCAACTGCGACTTCTTGAACATTGAGCTTCTCATTCACAAGACACTCACGAGACCTTTACAGTAAAGTTTGGCTTAACAAGGAAGCCTGTGGGATTTCCTTCGGCCGCTTTGTGAAAATTGAACAATGAACCAACAACAATTAGGCGGTCCCGGAAAAACTATCGAAGTTGATGAAAAACCACTTCTTTAAAGCCAAGCACAATAGAGGAAAAACCCGGCCATACCAATGAATCTTTGGGATGGTGGAGCGTGGATCAAACAGAATGTCTTTTTTTTTCATTTCTTCGTCGCGATGCTGCCACTCTACTTCACCTGATTCAACAATACGTCTCCCCAGGTAAAAAAAGAACATGTAAAATAATAATTTGCTGACCATTTAGGTACAAAAATTGTTTCCGATTTTTGGCGTGCATATGGGAGCATCTCGAGTCTTCAAGCAAACTTCCAACATGTTGCCGTCAATTATAAACTGTTAGTTTAAACTCACCATTTTGATTTCAGTTTTTAGAAACTCATTTTTGCAAACTCATTTTTACAAAACACTTTAAAAGTTATTCAAATTAGCTTTTCAGCTGTTTCGTCGAACCTAACGATCCCACTGCGCACACCCAAGGTGTCGAAGGAGTTGGGGGCACTAAAAGCCTCGATTCGACATCTGCGAGGAGTTACACAAGATAAGCTACCGTCTTACATGTTCAAATATACAGTCGACTCTCGATATAACGACTCGCTCGGGATGAAAAATCTCGATTTAACGACTCTAAAACGTGCCCCAAATTTCCTGCGTGAACGGCCAACAATTGCATTTGGCTGAGCAGCTACGCAGAAATCATTTAGCATTTCAAAGTCGTTGTACCGAGAATCGTTATATCGAGAGCCGACTTTATGTATCGTCGAGCTCATCCTGCTGATTGTCTTTTCTAAAGTCTTTTGAATGAGATTAGTCTCGTAAACCCTATTGTTTAACAATTCAAATTTCAGATGAATACGCAGTGATCTAATCTCTAAGCACTAATCAAAGTGATTCTTATTTGTATCGGTGTATACTGGCTATTGTTTTTTGTGATTGAATAAATAATATTTACTAAAAATTAACCAAAAAGCTAACAAAACTTTTGAATTTCTTCAAAAGCCCCGGATTTTATGCAAGAGCCCGATTTTCTACTATTATTAAAATAAAATTGAGGTGGTAGAAAGAAATAACTCACCAATTGAGTTGGCACACGTGACACTCCATTTGTGGTTACTATTCCGGCGGTTGGCTGAAACAAAGTTCGTTTTTAAAATGATAAGCTTGGAATCTGTTTAAATCTAACAAAATACGAACTTCTTAAATCAGAAAAATCTAGAATTTGTAAAGTAATACAAAATTTGTCAAAAAAAAACAAAAAATTCAGTTTTATTGAAGCTAAAAACTCGCTGAATCGGTGGGCGATTCACTTGTGATTGCTGTTACAGTTGTCGTCTGTAATAGAACTCATTCATTAATTTGTTGTTAAATGGTTTAAACGATGGTTTATTTTGCTTTAAATTGTTTTTATAAATCTACTTCTTGACTTTATATTCTGAATACAAAAAGATCTTTTTTTTGATCTTTTAACGACACACCGGTTCAGGCAGCTCAGCTGTGATGAGATCAAACAAATAGAATGACCAACAAGTGTCTTCAAAACATTTCGAATCAATCCACATTCGATCTTCTTTTCCATAAGTGGCTTTTGCTTGTTGTAAGAGATGTGGTTGATCAGGAGAAACAGAACTTTTCGAGATGATGTAATTGCAAGTTTGTAGTCCATCGATTCTTTTCACCGTTTCAATAAGCGGCTCATATGCGTATCTTAAAAAAAAGCATTACTTTAATGATGATTAGAATCAATTCTTTAAAAAATAGTAGAATTGAATTGACTTACTGTTGAAGAGCCCGAAAAACTTGACTTGAATTTGTTGTCGGGCATTTCCCAGCTTGTGGGTCCACTCTACCGGGAATGTAATGCAGTTCCCAGCGATGGTCAGTGTTTTCTCCAGTCGTTGAGTTCTGAGTTCGATTCATTGCCAGTCTAAATACTAATGTTTTACATTGAGGGTTTTTTTGAGAATTTTTGGAAACTTACACCCGGTAGTACTGATCGCATTTTCCTGCATAACAAAAGGAGCAGGGTCTCAAATCGCATGAAGTGACAACCTAAATTGTCTCATATTTCGATGTACAAAATCAAATTTAGTTTAAAAACCTCGTAAAGTTCAGACAGTTCATCAGGTAACGTTTCGTTTGTGATTGTTTGTTGAGCCATATAGATAAACTTTCCATAGCTGAAAATTTCGTTAATAAACAAACAGTAAATTGTAAAAAAAAGTAAATTGAGTGACTCACAATGGAGAACCAAAATTTTTGAACAGCTTCCAAGTATTATTTGTGAAAAGAGAGAAATCTTCGACCCCATCAAGCATTTCCATGTAATCACTTTCTTGTCGGACTCCTACCTGAAAGAAATTAATTGAAAACTGTTTCTTTAATGAGTGGTAATTATCTTGTATTTTCCAGTTTTGGTCATGTGAAAAAGTACTATCGGAAAAATAATGATCCCCCTCTAATAGTGACCCCCAGAGGGTCAGCGAAAAAATAATGCCCATGTGGCTACTATTACAACTTTTACGGTAACTATTGGGTTGGGGAGAATGAGTCGGCGCCGAAAAGGAAAAAAATGTCTAAAACTTCTATTCGACTTCGTCAAATAATATGCGTTTGATATCAGTAGAATGGTTAACTAATTCTCTACAAAATGACATTTAAAAGAAAATTCAAACAGCGCCTCCGCTCAAGAAAAAGCCATTTTTTCACAAAAACTACAAACTGTGATCTAGAAAAAACCATTGGTGGGATCTTCCTGCAAATTTGGCAACTTAAGTAATTGAATGTGCTCTATCTTTTTTATATAAACACCAAAGAAGGTTTATGTGAAAGAAACTGTTCAAATGATGAGTCGGACTCTTTGCCATTTCAACCAGCTGCGTTTGGAAGTTCATAAACTCCACGAAACAAAAGCTTTGTGGAATCTCTCAAAAGTCATTTTGTAGAGAAATAGTGGATCCTTTTGATGAAACCAAACGTATGTTTAAAGAAGGCTTTATGTGTGCAAAAAGTCCCTTTAAAGTTTGGCGCCGACTCATTCTCCCCAACCCAATACATAACGCTTTTTTTGTGAGATTTTCCATTGCATTTTTTTCCTTTCCTTTGCTAAGCACTCACCGTTTTACTAGCCACATATTTATAGAAAGTGTCATTGATTTTCGCCAGCTCGCCATAAATCGAGCTCGGCCAACGCTTCAATGCAATTGTTTGGGCGCATGGCATAACCGAATCAAGCTAGAAAGTAGAACTTTCATAAAGTTTCTTGATTAAAATTCACTGCAATTTGAATGTCCGCCGCCACAGACATATAGAAGTCAGCAAGGCAGTCAGTTCTGTTCTTGCATCCATTGATCGTTGCATCAGTCAAGCAACTAAAATTGGTGTTTTGCTTCTGAAGTTTCCTTTACGGTAATTCAATTTTTTGTTTAACCTTTCCACTTCTCGTATTGATGGATGATTCATTGCAGTCAGCACTTCTTTCAAATCACAAAGATAGCCATCTTGAAATGAAAACAAATAATTTTGATTGAATCAAGCTCAGCACTGTTGAGAGCTCAACAGTGCTTACCTGTACAATTCGAGTCAAACGACAATTGATATGGCTCGGTTAGCAACAATTTTCTTTCTGAATCATCTACCAAAAGCAACCCATCATCATAATCGATGCTATACATTTTGTGAAAAATTTCTGAAATGGTTTAACTTTCAAAACACTTTCGAATCTCCATTTACTTTCTATAATTTCCACTTCACCGTCGTTGAGTGAGTCCATCGTTTTTGAGTGTTTTCTTGCGAGTCTTTCAAAAAGTTCCCAATATTTTTGATCAACGATTTGACTCTTCGGTGAGCAGTTCTCCGTGAGTTTTACGCGCATGTTCTGAAATTTTCAGCCATTGGGTTGGAAAGGTTCAAGTGAGAATTTTTGCACTGTATTTTTCTAAAAATACCAAACCACACATTTATTCAAGGTAATCGCCCTTATTATCTATTATTCGTTGCCATTTATTGGGTAGAGCACGGTCCCCTTCTCCCCGAAATTCTTGGACTGCGCGTCAAAGAAGTCGCGGAGCCAATTTTCGATCTTGACGCGATCTCCGAAGTGCTCCTCATCGAGTTCTGCAGCCAGCTTCCCGAAAAGATGAGAATCAGAAGGAGCAAGGTCAGGGTTATACGGTGGATGAGGGAGAACTTCCCAGCCCAGCTCCTTCAATTTTTGTTGAGTCAAATTTGCAACATGAGGTCTTGCATTGTCATGCAAGTGAAAGACCTTTCCATGATTTGGCCGATTTTTTGTGATTTGTTTGGCGACCTGATCCAGCTGTTCTGAGTACAGGGAAGCTGTGAGAGTCGTGTAGCAACTCCCAATAAACTACTTCGCTCAGATCCCACCAAATGCACAACATAATCTTCTTCTGGTGCAATTCTGGCTTAGGCTCAGGTTTCGGTTGCTCGCCGGGACCGATCCACTGCTTGTGGCTTCGATAGTTGACATAAAGTACCCACTTCTTTCCACCAATAATCACGTGTAGAAGAAAGGAATATCTATTGTACCGGGAGAAACTAGGGCAGCAGAAACGGTGAGAGGCGCTGCAATCCCATCACATCTGTGAGCACATAGGGAACCCATGTGCCAAATTTCAAAACAAATCCCATTCAATGGAGATGGGTTATCACTTATCAATGCCCTGGTTGATTGTTTGTTGTCGATCTGCAGGAGCTCAGTTAGAGCCGTTTCATTGAAGTCACTCACGCTCCCACCGCTCGCCTCTTCCTCTAGGGAAAAGTGGCCTTTCTCGAAACGATGGAGCCATCTGTAAGCGGTTGTTAGACTAAATAAATCTTGCCCATAAACAAGAACAAGTTTTAGTAATCAATAGTTGAAGAGTGACGTAAGCAAGCTCCTCTTTATCCGAATGCTTTTGGTGCTGGGGAATACTGATAAGAACAGAAGAAAAAAAAATTGTCACTTTGATCTTTCCAACCTAATATAAAGGTTATTGACATTTTTTAAAAAGTACTAAAATATTTTTCACAGATAGACAAATGATAAAGAAATCAAAATAACCTCAACAACAGTGAGTAGATTATCCGAGTTGTCAATACAAAGTCTTTTCAAAGACTCTTGATTTTCGGGTACCCATTTTTCGGTGATTGTCAAATAGCCGTAGGCGAACATTCCAATTGCTCGTAAGGGTGTTCGAACTTTCTAAAAAAACTTATTATCATAAACAAAAAAAATGAAACAAACATTCTGATAGTCGACTAAAAGCAATCGATTGTTCAATGTTTCGATGTCCTTCAAAATTTCATCCGTTTTCTTCTCGACAATCGCGAAATGTTCTCTCATGTAGATATTCATATCACGTAATGTCTCGAGTTGTTTTGTGATATTGACAAGGATTTTCTCAGTCGCTTCATCAATTTCGAGTTTGATTTCTTGAATCACACAATAGTGTTGTTTTGCCATTTCTTCTTCGATGTGTTTCACTTGTTCTCGTGGGTCATCCAGCGGATCCTGGAAAGATCATGTTAACAAAATTTGACTGTTACATCTTGTAAGGAACTGTAAAACTAAAATTGGCTGTTATAGAGGCATTGATGAGATACTAAGCTGCTACTTATTCTTATAAAATCACTTACATCGCCGCCAAAGAGTCCACCAACAAGATCGCCTATTACACCACCAATTTCCGAGCCCACTGACATTCCACCGAAACCACCGTAAAAACTAAATAGAATGCAATCTCTTTGAAAAGTCGAAATAAACCTCTAAATCTAGGGTGTTCAAAAATTACCGTTGCAGATAAAAAAAGTCCGTATTTAAGGCAAAAGGTCGTCGAATTGTAAAATTTTTTAAGATTAACATTTATTGATCTATATCAAGAAATATAAATTATATCTTTTCAAATAAGCCTCCATTCGCTTTGAGGCACGAGTCCAAACGCCGAGGGAAAGCGTTTCTTGATATTGGCTAGAGTAGAGACGGTTCGGGTTCTTCCTCTTCCAGAACCATCGATTTCTGTTCCTAACTCCTTAAAGCAGTCAATTGTGCGATAAACAAGTATCCGATTAACTTTTAGTCGCTTTACGATGTCGCTCGCCGAGTGGCCCTGTTTATTCAAAACAGCTTCGACAGTAAAAAGCTTTTCATCGGTGAAAAGAATGGATCGATGATCGTTGCCGTTGATACGAAGCAGCAGCTTTTCCGAACGTTATTTTCTCTTCTGTTTTGCAGTATCCGAAAGCAATTGTGCTTTATTTTTCTTGTAGGCTTTGAGTTTGAGCCTGTTTTTTACAATTCCATGAAGAGACGAGCGCTTGAGTCCCATCTACTTAGCAAGTTTCCGGATCGAGTGGTTTGGAGTCTTTGCAAGTCGGTTGCGTACTTTCTTGATATTGGCTGGAGTTGACACGATTCAGGTTCTTCTTCTTCCAGAACGATCGATTTCTGTTCCTAACTCATTAAAGCAGTCAATTCTACGATGAACAAGCATCTTTTAGTCGCTTTACGATGTCGCTCGTCAAGTGGCTCTGTTTTAAAAGTTTGATGATCGATCCCTGTTGTGGTGATGCTTTTACCATTCTAAAAAAATAGCAAATAATCGCATGTTATCTTGTAGTAATATTGTAAAATCAAAAAAAAACCAAGATAAACACCAAAATAACTTGTAGAATCAGAGATACCGTATTCTCTCTAATAGTAGTGCACCCCAAGCTTTGCCTAAATTGCTCGAAGTCTCGAGAACCGCTTATCAGAACCTATCGATGTGGGGTCGGAAAATGTAGCTGACGATGAGATCTTTTCGGGGATTAGAGTATTGAGCTTCTGCAAAAGCTTGGAAACCGTGAAATCGTCATCAACTCGGCTCGACGGGGTGCACTACTATTAGAGAGAATACGGTAAATGCTTTTTTTTGCGCGACCGAATGGTGTAACGGTAATTTTTGGACACCCTGTACTTATGAAGAAATGCTTTCCGAGAAGGATTATAATTTTTGATCCAGTAAAGCAGTAAGAACTTATCACAATCGATCCAAATATTCCACCAAGCACTTCTCCGCCAAGTTCGATTCCACCCTTCACTTTCTCCATTCGATCCCAATATTTTTCTATGAAATTATAATATGGTATTATGGATTAGAGCTATCATACTACCTTGTGCATCATCATATTTTTTATCCGAACGAAGTTTCGAACAGTCTTCAGTCAAGTTTCCCGGGGGGGATCAATACGGTAGAACCAGCAATTGGTGGGTGAGTGGAATCTTTTGAAAGAGCATTGATGCTGAAAAAAAGTGGCTTTGCTTGTGATGCTTTAAAGCAATGCTTTTTGATAGTTGAAAAAAACTTTGATACACTTACAAGCGATGTGAACGATAAGCATTTGAGGATAGAAACAGCAAAATGAAAGTTGAAAAGCTGCCTTTCATTTAATTGAAAAGAGACAAGTGTAAGAAATAAATGACAAATGAAGACTATGAAATCCCAACTCTGAATTATTTTTATTAGCTGTTTATTCAAAGTTATCAGTCTGTCTACCAAACACAATAATAAAAAACAAATTTTATATCTTTTATTGTAAACAAAAGTTCAAATCCTGACCGGCGTTCAAAGCTTAAAGGAACAGACAAAACTTTGCTTTTGCATTTGCTTTTAGGTTTTTCTTATCAGTTTGAATCGGAAATCGGATGGAGACAAAGTCAAAAACAAAATTTGTGATAAACAAACAAAATTTTTTTTTCGCTAGCCTAGGCTAAACGGCTAGACGTTAACGAATGATTCGTTAACGGCTAGCCGATTACGAATGAAATTTTTTCACTAGATGTGTACGAAATCTTTGTAATCGGCTTCTGCGAACATGGCTAGGTTCAAGTTAATTTACCATGTTTTTGATTTCAAAATTTTTATGCAAAAAAGAAAAAAAAATTGATTTTGAAGCGAGTTATTAAAAGTTGTCAAAATGCCCCTTTGCTGAAATGGGGCCTCCGGGAGGACTTCTCCCCATTCTTTCCCGAATCAAACCCACGTGATGAGCTGTTTGATGAATATTGATGGGGAGGAATTTACGCTTTTATGGGATCAGAAAAATGAAAATAACCCAATGCTCAACAATAGCGCTTTTCTCATCACTGAACGTCAACTTTCGGGTTTAAATCATTATTCCTGCTGGCTAAAACATTTTCAGATGAAATTACTTATAAACTTATTCCCTGGTTTTCCCCAGAAATCTCAATTCGACCATCCGATTCGGAAACGAACCTTTCGATCGTTATCGTCTTTCCAAATGATGGAGATGCTCGCATTTTGAAAGGATTACAATCGGCAGCGTTTCAATAAAGAATAAAATGCATATTTAGCTTCTTTTTCTTGTAACAAAATATTCACTTGCATGATTAAGCTGAATATGTTTTTCAAATGTGAAACTTCTGACGGATTCAGCTAATAGAAGAATCAGAAAAATTCAAAATAAAACCGTATTTTAATAGGATTCAATGAACGCCGACTGCTCTTATGATCTTTACATTCTGTCGCCACAAACCAGCACTTCAAACGATACCGATCGATTCCTCATCACTGTTCGGTATTGCTAAAAAGAACTATAGTTCCCTTTTTATCAACTATTAAAAAATACATTGTTTAGGGAAAATACGACATTCGTCGAACAATATCTCGTGAATCATGTCTACACGCTAGTTGTGCCACCTTGGTGCTCACCAACTACAATTCTTATTGAGTCGGCAAATCTCACCGGTAACTACGTAAAAAAAGTAAAATATCTGAAATTGAAGCATAAAATTGATAAAAAATCAACTAGAATAAAACAAAATTGGAAAGTACTTTATTCGTTTTTTAACCTTGACTCTGAACATCCGTAAACGAGAGCCAAAATGTAGTAAATTTGACAAATCTTTGACAGAGTAAATAGCGCACTTGTATCTAAACTAAAAATATAAAGAAAATTTTTTAAAAAAGAATATGTAAAATTTTATATCGAACCGTGGAACAAACGCTTTGCGAAGGCTCGACAATGATCACCACTCCTGGGTACCTCGTTTCAATGAATCCCTTCGATGAGGGACTTCCTATTTGGCATTATATCATTTGTCGTGAGTTTTTCTATTATATAAAACAGGTTTTCCTATTTTCTTTAGCCGATTCATTGATTTCAATGCAAATCGATGTCATGGGAGTCTATGATGGAACGCTGATCATAGCATTTAATGATTCCTTAGGAGAATCAGTGGCAAATGAGTTATAAGTTGAAAACTTATATGAAAAAAAATTTCAATTACTAGAACACATTTACAAACAAAATGTAAACAATAATCACTAATAATAACAAAATTTCAAGTTGTTTCCAAGACGGTGACTTTCGTTGGCCACACGGATTTCAAATGTTGAACGCCTCAAGTGTTTTGGTGAGTTGCACAGTTTCATTTTATTTGTTGAAATCTAGATAAATTGGATGCCCGGAAATGAATCAACTCAAGGAGCCCTCGCGATGGTTCGCATGAATGAAGTGGACAAGGAAAAGTCAACAGAAAGTGGGAAATCATCAAAACTTTGGTATTGGGTTGGATCGGCAATCGGGGTGCTCGTGCTGGGGCTCCTGCTCTCATTTGTGGGACTCCGATCTGGGTAAGTAATTGGGATCAAAAATGAAGTGAATAGTAAGACGATTCCAAAAACTAGACACTAGTCCTCTAAAAGCTTAGCCAAAAATATTCAGAAATCAGAAAGACATTTACCAAAAAGTTTTGTTAATTTCCATCTTTAACGATTTTAAAAACATTTCAGCTTTTTTCATCGTTTATGCCGTCCACAGCTCATCGAAAGGAGTACTCTAAAAATGTGGGAGAAAATCACATGGGAAATGCAGATGAATGAGGATGGGTTCGTTACATAAAGATCTTTATGAAACTCTTGAGTTACTTATAAATGAAAAACATTTTATTTAGTAGCGATCAATGGGAGGTATCGGCAACGAGTTTGCAAGTCTTGGACGAAACTCTCGGCGCCGGAGCGTTTGCCATGGTTTTTAAGGGATATCTGAAAGGAGTGCCGCCGGTTGTGAAAATCTATCCGTCACTTCAGGTACCAGAAAAAAAAAGCAAGGAAAAGAAGAACGAGAAAGCCCAACGTTTCAACTTAAAAATACAAATTCAAAATTTCAGAAAACAGAATACCGTATCAAACTATTGGGTTGGTGCATTGAAAACTGCCTTTGAACTAAAATTTATTGAACATAAAACCATGAATTCATTCGAAATAATTTCCACTATTATTGACGACTTCTGCCCATTTTACAGGCAATTTGCGGATTCCCCTTTCGTAGTAGGATTTTACATTGTTGCTTACAATTTATAGATTGTTTTTCTTTTTCTTTTGGTTTATTTTATTTATTTAACTATTTACTTACTATTTTTTCTCAAAAAATGCCTCTTTTTTAGCATGGCCAAGATGTCAGTGTACCGAGATGCGATCATTGACCTACACAAGCGTGACGTTCGATAGATATCTCTAGGCGATTGATAATACGCAAACAACTTTTTTTACAATGCGATCAAACGCTTTCAAGAGCTAGGAACAAATTCTGATCGTCCCGGACGTGGTCATAAAGCGACAAAGGCTAATATCAAAAAAGGTTCGAGATCAGCTACGCTTGAAAGCCACTCGATGGCAAAGAATATGGGAATTTCTCGAACTTCTATGGGCCGTATTGTCAAAAATCGCCTTGAAATGAAAGCTTATAAGTTTTCCAAAAGCCAATTTCTTACGTCAACCAGCAAAAAGAAACGCGAGGATCGTTCCAACCAACTTTTGCTTCGCTTCAATGGTATCGATGATCGGAACATTCTCTTCATCGATGAAAAAGTCTTTTTCTGTCAAACACTTTGTGAATCATCAAAACAATCGCATTTATACGAAGATTCGATTTAACCAACCTGTGGTACGAGCAGCTTATCCCAAATTGTTGATGCTCTGGGCTGGTATCACCGCAGGCAGAAGGACTCCTCTGTTTTTTGTTCCTCAAGGAATCAAAGTGAATGCGACCAATTATTTGGATATTCTTAAGCAAGAAATACAAGAAATATAGAAATTTAGCCCGCCTGCACCGGATGCCGGATTCGACTATGCGCTGTCGCTAAACCACGAGCGGGAAAACCCCGGCCGTACCCAGTAGGCAACTTTCCCGCTCGTACTACATACAAACAAATCTCTGAAAGCTTTTGGGTTAACTGTTTGTTGCAATTTTCAATATCTAGCCTACGCTCCGTTTCCATCAATGTTCATGTCATCGAATTCATTTTTTTAAACTCCCACTGGTACTTTTAAACAACACTAAACGTATCGCATCTAAGAACGTCGGAGGCCTATAAAAGGCCTCGGATCCTCCCACAAAATCAGCTTTTTCTGTTTCTCTTCGCATAAAAAATTCCGCGGCGTTAAATTTTAATGCTTTAGTATTATTTTGTTTTCTCTTTTTATTTGAATGTTCTCGCACAAGTGTAAACCAGGACAAGTTCATTACACTTAAGGTTGAGTGGTATTACTCACGTCTCCTCTTCGCGGACGTAGTGAACCTGTCCTGGGTAGCACCTAAAGACCCATTAAAATTCAATTGTTTAGATGGCATCGATGACACCACCGGAACCATTCGTGGATTGACAGTGTTTACGGTAGATACAAACGTTTAAAAGACCGAGAACAGCAACTGCAATTAAGTGAACTTTTCCCAGCCCCCGTGGGCTCTTCTCCGAATTGTCCATAATTTTTCTCTCGAAAAGGTTAAAGTTTTGAGGATCACATCGCTCATTTCCCATGAATTTGTATGCCTGTGTTCTGGTTTAATGTTTTATGCTCTGAAAGAAAAAGTACAACAAATGCGATGCAATCAGGGATTTGTTAGTCGAGTTGAAATCGAAATGGTCGACCTTGTTTGTGGAGATCGAGGCTTGCTCAAACAGATCACATTCATCACACTGAATGAGTCATTTTATCGAACAATAAAGACGGGACTGCTCTGGGTGTTAATCAAAAGTGGGTATCAATTCTACAAATACAGTTGTTTTTTCAAGAATCAACTCAAATTCCAATCTTTCTTCACATCTTTTCAGTCATAAGCCCTCACCTGGCTAAGAAGCAGAAGAAAAATAGTTGAACAAAAAGAATGATGGCCCAATAGACGGATAATAGATTATTGCCGAAGAACAGAGTGACAAGAATGGCAAAAGCTGGATAGAGCACAGTGCTGATGAGAGCGGTCAGAGAGTTCGACAACATCTAAACGAACATGGTGCTTTACGGAAAGAATGCGAAACCTGTATCATCAGCATTTTGTCAACACGTGAAACCTTTTTCCCTTGTCGTTTCAGCTGGAATTTTCAAATAAATCACGGCTAATTAAGCAAAAAATAACCAAAATATAGCCTCATATGGCAAAATTGACTTTGCTTTCTTAAAGTTCTAGTGAACCTTTCTCAAACGTCGATATGTCATCACATCAAGAGCACACATCATATAACATGGCAGTAGCACAATGTGATCATCAATGATTGAATGAACATTATCATTCAGCGAATCGCCAACCACGACTCTCAATTTCTCAAGGCCGATCCTCACCACATATGGCATCAACACTTGAACAAACGGCCATTTCTGTGTGTATCGAAAAAATGCCCCGTCGAATGAAATAGCAAAAAAACGACTCAATGAGATCATGTATTGGAAATATTGAGCTATTTCGTAGAAGCCATAATCCAAAACGAGGAAATGATAGATGGAAGTGAGTGTGGTCGAGAGCTCTGTTGAACATCCGAATCCTGGCGACAAATAGGAGGTCAATAGATGACAGCATCGAGGCATCGCATAGCTGATCGTGTAAACGAGTTTGTTGATGCTTTCGGCCGTGGCCAGCCACCTAAGCCATTTCGACTACTTTGTACTCTGCAGGGTGGCTGAAGTCTATTGTTTTTCGTTTCTTAGTTTTTTTGCCCACAGGATGGCCCATAATTATAAGTGCAAATAAAAAGCTTTGTAGGTAGACAAAAACTTTTTTGTTTTTAAATCTTTATTTGATATCAATGAGCAACAAATTAACAATTAAATTCAAAGCGATCACCATTTTTAGCCGAGCACGCTGTCAAGCGTTTTGGGCGTCCATGGTGGCGACCAAGTAAGTTCACCCCAGACTTTCAGGAGACTTTTCTTCAAACTTTCAACATTTTTATGAGGTTTTGAGTAGGCTTTTGCCTCAAGGACGGACCAGACAGAATAATCTATTGGATTGAGATCTGGCGAGCTGGGTGGCCATTCAGAAAAAGAGATGAAATCGGGAAGCTTCACTTCGCAAATCTTGAACTCCTTGCTTTATGGGCTGGAGTTCCGTCTTGTTGGAATGTCCAAAAATGATTTTTCAAATGCTTTTGAAGTGCAAATTTCAACTTTGAGCAGATCAAGATAGTTGCTAATAATAGATAATAAGCCACTGCATCTATAGTTATGGGGCACCCTGTATAAGCGACGCTAGATGCATCAAAAATTTGGAAAAGGTGTGGTACCACTTCCCAAAATTATGATATCGTATTGCTAGAGATTATTCTAACTTTAAATTGACGATACATACCGGATTGGTCTTGACAAATATTCATTTGAGGCCGAGGCAAAAGCTGCGATTGGGAAAATGAAAATACTGAGAACAACGGACTAAATTTGAATTGAAAGACTCACACAAAGAACATTTCTTGCCGACATACCAAAAAAGAAGAAAAGAAGATGTATTTGTTGATGTCGTTCACCAATATCAAATTGACATCAACTTGGAAGATGTGCCAATTTTGAGCCGAACAATAATCCAAAACGATATGGATTACTGTAAACGATATGGATTCTTGCATTTCTCATTCACCTAATCTCAAATACCTTCCAAAGCTAAAGTCAATCCCAAAACAATAAAGAAATCACGAAATCGATCGAGAAAGAGAAGAAAGCGCATCGAATCAAATATTTTGTTGAAAGAAATTGGCTAAATTTTCTCATGAAAGCCCTTTCATACGAATGATAATATGCATGAGAAAATCTTAACAAAATTGTACTTGATTGAATAGTTGCTCTTTGTCTGAGGAAGTTTCCGAGAGGCCTAAAGTCTGATGGATCTTTTTGAACTGGAAAGAAAAATAACAAATCTCAAAAACAATCATTAGCTGGCACTGTGTAGATTAAGACATCCAAAAAGAAAGAGTCAGTAATGAATGAGCTCAAAACAGAATCCTAATCTCATTTTACTAAAGTTGCACGAGTATCAACGATTGTTATTGTTCTGATTGAAGCCCTGACGAGGTTTCTTCTCTTCAACGATCTCCAACCATTCTTAGCTCAATCATCTCATTTTTGTCTGTTCTGATTTGGCTGGAAAGACAAAATAATCCACATGAAGTGAACTCTTTTTGAGGTAAATTTAGACATTGAAAGCAGCTTTGTATGTGATGTTTGGAATCCCGAGGCACACGCCAACAATGGCACCAATAAGCCAGCCAAGCATTTGACGGATTTCTTTCTAAATTTGAATGTTGTAATCAATTTACCGATAGCGATTTACCGGCAAAAATGTGAATACAATTCTTTGAACATCCTGCTTGG